GTCATCATTTTTTGCCTGCCCTCTGCGGTCCTCTGCATGAGCATCCCGTGGTAAGAAGGTGAATGAGGCACCAGCAGAGCGTTGCGCTGCTGCGTGGAGACTGTGCGCATCCCAAGGTCTGGGCGGGGAAGAGCGGTTTGCCGCAGCGGAAGCCAACGGCACGTTGTGGATGCTCTGGTAATCGTATGCTTTAGGAACACGAACGTTATTATGATTTTGGCATGGATGCTCTGGTAATCGTATGCTTTAGGAACACGAACGTTATTATGATTTTGGCATGGATGCTCTGGTGATCGTATGCTTTAGGAACACGAACGTTATTGTGATTTTGGCATGGATGCTCTGGTAAGCGTATGCCTTAAGAACACGAACGTTATTGTGATTTTGGCATGGATGCTCTGGTAAGCGTATACTCTCGAGACGAACGGAATTATGATTTTGGCATGGATGCTCTGGTAATCGCATGCTTTAGGAACACGAACGTTACTATGATTTTGGCATGGCCCCCCAACCCCCCCAAACCCCAAAGCAACACGAGCTCACGCTGGAGCCAGTGGCAACTGCCGTGCGCGGTCAGAGAACCTATGCCGCGGAGCGTAAACCCTGAGCCTTAAACCCTACCTCAAAACCCTAAAGCAGGGTAGTTCCCCGTGGTCTCTCCGAAGGGGAAAGCTCGACCTGCCGCCCTTGATCCCGAAAGCCAACCGCTGAGCGCTTTTGCGCGGCCTGCCCACGTTGGCGTGCAGGGGGTTTTAGGGTTTAGGGTTTAGGGGGTCTGAGGGGTTTGGGGCATATGTTAGCACAAGAGCTGTAGTCTAAACTTCTAGTATCCCCCTTAATAACCCCTGTAATACTCCGCTATATAACCCCTTTTCAGGAGTTTAGACAATGGCTCATATGAATCCTATCATAGGTCTCGCGTTCCAGGTTGGTCGAAATAGCATCCAAAGTCACGCCTGGTTCATCAGCAAAGGTGCCTGGGACAGAAAATCCGCAATGTCCTGGCGGACATGTTCACCATGGAGATTGCATCTCACAGCTTCCTTGCTGGAGCCATCCAAAACTGTTCTGCCTCACCGGGTGTTGATGTTGTAGGGGGCTGAACCTATATACTCCCACGTCTCCTAGCATATATCCGCTATATACCCCTATGTTCGAGGAGTTTGGGAGGCCCTGGGCAGAAGTTAGCCCACTTCAGACAAACCCATTAACTTTGAAGCATACTTGGCAAAGTATGTATAGGGCTATATAGGGGAAAAAGGTGGATATGATGGGGATATACATGGGAATTAAGGAGACATAGGGCTCTTTGGGTTCAGGGTTTAACGCTTGGAGTGTAGGGCCCCCTATAAGGCTTAAACTGTAAACTCTAGACTCTATACTCTAAACCAACAAACTAACAGGAAGATCCAACAGAAGCAATCGCAGTCTTAAGAAAAGCCAGAGGCCGGGGCCGGAGATTCTACCATGGTTAAACACATCATGATACTGGTGCCCTAGGAGGAAGTGGGGAGTGTTTGGTGTCTAGGGTTTCTGGTGTAGGCCCTGAGTCGTCCAGGGGTTGATGCAACATAGACCTGAACAGTAATTTCTGATTTCTTGCCCATTATCCCCATATAGCCCCTGATATACTATAATATACTATAACATACAATATTGTACTAGAATACATTATAACATACCATACACCAAACCAATGATGTGTTGACAGTCTGCAAATTCTGTTGGGTCACTGGCAGGCTTGCAAGCTTCGTCCAGCCAAGTATTGAATCCATGGCTTGTACGTTGCTCCGGCAAGTCTGCGCTGTCATCTTTTCTATGATGAGTTGCATGCTGAGCATTGGTCGTTTGGAGTTCTGAAGCTCGAGGACTAGCTGTGGAGTCACCAGCCGTGCAACCCGTGCAGATTTCGGTTGTAGTTGCGTGGCCATGGCCGACCTCGAGAAACTCAGCCAGGAGCTGAGTGCCCTCAACCTTACGCCGCAGCAACTGCTCAGCTTGCTTGCAGTCACTAACTCCAAGCCCAGGGAGCAGGAGCGCCTCCGAGCACGCGCAGCTCGAGTCCAAGGACCGTGCGAAGAAGCTGAAGACTCTGGATGCCGCCTTTGTTGTGGACTGCACGTCATCAATGCGAGGGGTGCTGAGCAATGCTAAGGAGAAAATGAAATGCATTGAGGAAGCGGTCAGCCAGCGCTTGGGTGTGGGAGCATGCGTCCGGTTTGCCATTGTCGCGTACCGGGACTACGAGGACACGAAGCACATGCAGGTTCTTCCGTTTACAAGCGACTTGCAAAGAATCCAGGACTTCATGTGTAAGCTAGAGGCGTGCACAAACAGCCGCCTGCCGTGGGACATCTGCGAGGATGTCATTGGCGGGCTGCAGGAGGCTTTAGCTTTGTCTTGGGATGCGAAGACACGAATTTTGTATCTTGTATGCGATGCCCCACCACACGGACATCGCTTTTACGAGAAGAATGACAAAAACAAGCGCTGGGATAGCTTTCCTGCTGACATCAAGCAATGGCGGCCAACGGACACTGCCATTGAACAATCTATCAAGCTGCGGATAAGCATGGTCGGATTGAATTACGGGCAGGACAAATGTGAGAAGATGTTCCAGGTTTTCAAAGACTTGTGTGCTGCGGCCGGAAGCTTCACCAAGCGCATTCGTTGACTGCATCCTGGAAAGCACTTCCCGCACGCTGCGTTCTTCGCTGACCAGCTCGAAGACGCGGCAAGTGTGTCAAAAGGACCAAGTGCACCATTTGGTTGCTGTAAAAGAAGACCATGACGTGCAGTGGGATGGCTCAACCAGCTGGCCAGAGTATCACGTCCTGGTGACTTCTGTTACCGTGCTCGGCTTGGATAGGGACCCCAAGCAAAACACGACCTGCTGGCAGCTGCGCATCAGGGCGCAGCCGTTTGCCAGTGGCAGCATGCGATGGGCTTTCCAGCTGTCAGCCAAGGTGGCCAATTCTTCGTAGTGAAGGCCAGGGGAGCTTTGGTCAGGATAGTGTGTTTGCAGCCTGGCGATCCACATGGACTTAAAGTGTTGACTTTTAGTCACATGGTGTTGTGGGGGGACTATGCTTCAAGATATGATCGAACAGAAGAGTCATCACCTTCCCCCGCTCCCTCGTAGTAAGCATTAATTCCGAAGGACCAATCGTTTGGGAATTGCCTCGCCAAGGAGTTTGATTTTTGCAACGGTAGTTTGAAGTGCGACCTTATCGGGGACCGAGATTCAAGAATGCTTCACAATAAATTCCAGTTTCTAGCTGACCCTTTTTAGGCTCAATTCAAACATGACCGCGGGGCCCTGGGAGATAATTGTCTTCCCAAATGATCAGGAGTTTCTCGGCTGATTGGGGGAACGATGTTATCAACAGGGGAAGCTATCTGAGCGTTAAGTTCATGGCTGGATCTGTTGAGCAGTTGAACAGCAGGAAACCCTGGCAAAAAATGACTGACATGGCTGTCAACCTTACACGCTTTAAATCCTCGAGACCCCCATTTCAATCCTGGAAGGCGCACAAGGCAGCTGGCTACCAGGGGCGGGAGGCTGCTTTTGCAGATGTCCAGACACAGGCTGCTTCTTTGAAAATGTAGGGTTCTAAAGGTTGGGTGGGACATTGCTGGCTGTAGCCATGGTCAAGGTTACAGTGCTTTTGGGAGCCTTGCTTTGGAAATGCGCATGTGGAAGGCTTCCTCAACCCTTGGACGAGGCCAAAAACCTGGAGCTGTAAACTCTGTTCCATGTGTTAGCACGCTTCATTCCCAGACCGGTCCATGTTTATCACAAGCCAGGGGTCCAAATACAGACCTCATTACATTATGGACCCTTTCTATGGGACTCCCGGAAGGGGGTCTTCAGGAAAACCAATGTGTAAACTGCAATGTTTCACGCACATGCTTGCGTGGATTTCTTCGTGCCAAGTGATCATGTAAGTTGCCGTGATTGTTTCCGAGCTCATTCTGCGCCAGGCCTATGCGAGGCTTTTCGCCAGGGACGTCAGCTTGGAATTTCCAGTGCCGCCGCTGCAGTTTTTGGATACATGGGTGGTTCAGCCATTGTGTTGGAAGGTTGCAGGCTACGCAACAATGGAGCCTTTCATTCCTGGGGAGTATCAGAAGTACACCAACAACAATGGCTACACGTCCCCGGGAGCAAAGCTTGCAGAGACGTTTTCGCACTTCACTTGGCACCATTCCGGTGGCTGCATGCAGGTGACTGACTTGCAGGGCTTTGGGCTGCAGATCTTGACGGATCCGCAGATACACAGCACTTGCAAGGGATTCTTCAGCAGGGGGAATCTTGGAAAGCATGGCATGGATGAGTTCTTCGTGACCCACTGCTGCAACGATCTGTGCCATCGCCTTGGCCTCAGGCCATCGCCGATGCAGCTTGGATTCGACGCGGTGTCTGTGGCTGATGTCTCTGACACAGCTTCCGTCATGTCAGATTGTGAACAATTGTCTGCATCGGGCAAATTGTCTTGCGAGCTTTGCTTCGGCCTTGTGCCAACAGCAAACAAGCAGCAACTCGCAGACATCTTCGGTAAGCATGGAGGCTGGTACTGTCAGGCATGCATACCAAAGATCGAAGCTGGCAAAGTTCGCACAACGTGCCGTTCCTGCCAGAAAGACTTCGCATACTCTGCCTACGTCATCAAGACCAAGGGCTGTGAGGTGCCGGACACTTGCGAACAATGTCAGCGTGATGAATCATGGATGTTCATAGACCCATGAAATATCTAAGGGAACACAGAAGCTGTTCGTTCATCGCCCTGTATTTTGCAACGAGATGGGTGCGAACAGATGCCTCCGATCGGATTGTGCTGAACGCGAATTCTGTCAATTCCAAAACTCAAAGATCATATGCGCATTCCAGAATTCATTAATAACATCGGCAATGAAGATATTCCATTTATATTGCCAAAAATTGAGAGGATTAATTCAAATAATTGGATCTCATACGATTTCTCGTTGAATTCAATTTATCGATTGATTATATAGGAAATGAAGATTACGACTAATAAATATTCAATCATACTTCATATAATTCCTATTTTTGACTGAAAATCTAAGATTCATTTTTTTATCTAGATATATGTCTCAATATTACGAATATTACGGCGCGGCTACTTGCGGCCATTTCGACCGCGTGGGGCGCAACCTTTCCGGCTCACGTCTACAATATCTCTTGCGGGTTCCCTAGGAGCTCAAAATTTCGGAAAATTTAGAGCCCTTCAAAAAAACCCAGAGGCTAAAAAATCTTCGAGATTTTTGGTCGTGCATCTCTTCTGCTGGGAACGATTATTCGCATGATTTATATTTTTTATTGCTTGCGTACGTGGGTTGCTTGGAGGAATATATAGACTCGGGATAATCGTATTTGTTATATATTCTTCCGATCTATTACACAAGATTTATTCTAGAGAGATATAATTTATCTATTAGATAAGAAATGGGCTCTCTAGGCGTAGGGTACCCTTCATTTCTT